GGTCCATGTGCTCGGGAATCCTCCTTTTGGTGGTGGCTTCCAACCATCCTGACCCTCTACCTCATCTTCCACCCTTGGTGACAATTCGATCCCTGTAAGCTGCAGAGAAGACAACAGTATGGACAGCATCCTCAAGGGGCGCTGCAAAAACATCATTTAGCTGGAGCTGTTGGTTCTTTAAGTTTTCCGACGGGAGTAGGCTTTCCAGCTTTTGCATACAATTCGGAATTGGGAACTCGGGATGTGTAGGATGCTTGGATACTAACTATCCGACTGCGGAGAGGGTTGATTGGAAAACCCTGAACTTGGTGGTACGGTATGGTAGGTTGAACCATGCTCTTGTTGGTACTTGCAAAATCCCAACCACAAGCAGCAGTAGTTAGTAGTCGCAGTTGTAGTGGGAGCAGTAGTAATCGTCGAAGTGGTGTTGGTGGTCGTGGAGGTGGAGGGAATACCAGGACTGCGAGGACGAAAGTGACGTTCAATCTGCGTTCCACCGAGCAACAGAGCAGGCTAACCATCCAAACATCAACAGCTGAAGGTTGTGCACCGGGTGTTGTTAGCACCACGATAGCCGCAAGAATCGCTGCCACCTCGGAAGGGCGGCTCACATGCGGACTAGCTAGTTGAAGCGTGGTTCTTCAACTGCACCCACGAAATTGATAGGGTAAGCAGAAGATCGAAATCAAATTCACAGTCTCGAAAACAAGGTGGTCAAACGTAGGACAACCGCAAACAGCAACGAAGAACACCAGCAACCAGTTGCGAGCCCAGATGTAGTGCCAATCAAAGTAGAAATCGAGAATCGTGACACCTGAAGCTTAAATCCCGAACCACCAAAATTGCTAGACTTGTTCAAAATGTATGTGACTTGTCATCATCTGAGCGTTTGTGTGATTCGACAGCTGCCCCTTTTTTCTTGCCGTCCCGTTTTGTTCCCAGAGATTTCGCGATCGATGGATTACTCTAGGTTTCTTCAGAGATGTATCGTTTCCGCTGCTCCTCATCAGATGTCAAGACTCCGTGTAAAGGGGTGTCTACAGACTGCATGTGACTTCTCCAGTTTGCTTCCAATGATGCAGATTTCCTACCAACGTTCATCAGACGCTGTCAAACTGCTCCACGATGCGACGGCAAGACCCTAAACCCCAATACGAGCGGCTATGCTGAAGGGTGGCAAAGACCCGAAACCTTTCCAACAGTTCCCCAAGAACCACGTCTGGGCAAGGTGCCGATGTTTCAGCATGAAAACCGAAACTCCGGGTTTAGTGCGCGTTCAAGCTCCAGGGCTGACGGTTTCGCAGAAACCCAAAACCCTAATAACATGATGGGTGGCTTAAAGACCTTAAACTTAAACGTTGAAACCGAAAATCCTCAAAGGAGTGCGTGTTCGGTCAAACCCCAGACCCTTTAAAGGGTGACGGCTTCCCAGAAACCAACTACCCTCATAAGAAATGATAAGGCACTCAACCTGAAAAGAAGTTGAGAGTTCCTGAAACCCTAATGCTTGTTCAAGTCACCAAAGCCCCTAGAGATCAAACGTGACACGGTATCCCGGGGCGGCCAAGAGCTTATATACGAGTATTGAATCCGATAAGCCCAAAAGCCTTAAAAGGGTGAAAACGGTTTTCCAGCAACGATGATGGGTGGCGACCCCGAACCTGAAAAGCAACGAAGAAATTCCGATGCAAACTGAATGCGCTTTTGGCACAATCCCAAAGCCCTGCAGCTTCAAGTGTGATTGGTTTCGGGTTTCTTAGAAACCCAAAACCAATGATGAGTGCAAAAACCCTAAACCCTAAAACCGGAGTGCGTGTTCAGCCAAATTCCAAGCCTCCTAACCGTAACTGGAAAGTAAGATGGCTTCCCGGCACCCCGAACTCCCCACAGGAGACGAAGGCCGGCGAGCAGTAGGGGTAGCAGTTGCAGCAGTTGTAGTCGTCGTCGTAGTTTTATTTTCGTCGCAGTAGTAGTAGTAGTAGTAGTAGTAGTAGTAGTAGTAGTAGTAGTAGTAGTGGTAGTGGTAGTAGTGGTAGTAGTAGTTGTTGTTGTTGTAGTAGTAGTCGTCGTAGTAGTGGTAGTAGTGGTAGTAGTAGTAGTAGTAGTAGTAGTAGTAGTAGTAGTAGTAGTGGTAGTAGTGGTAGTAGTAGTAGTAGTAGTAGTAGCAGTAGTAGTCGCAGCAGTAGCCCTTGCCCGAAAATCAGTGGTCGAGTTACGGACCCCAAACCCTAAGAGGACGTTTGGTGTTGCCATAGTGGTAGTCGTAGTGGCAGTGGCAGTGACCTGGCCATGGCAGTGGCAGTGGTCGTCGTCCTCGCGACCATCGTCGTGACAATAGCCACTCGCGCAAGCCCTAGAAGCCCTGTCCAGATCAGCCGTGAGTGGTTCCACCTTCAATAGGTTTTCTACCTTCTGCCTACGTGGAGGCCGAGATGCAAAGACACAAGTCACGCAGCCCCCGAGGCTCTTCTGAGCAGTGCTGAGCCGCAGAAGAGGGCCTCCAAGGACTGTGCCGCCAATCGCAGCGAACGGGTCCTGATCAAGATCCAGGACAACGTATACCAAGTTGGGATATGCAGTTGAAAAATTCGAAAGAAGAGGGAGGCCCAGAGGCTTGCAGGCATGGCGCAGCGAGTGTTGCAACGAGCGTGCAGACAAGCGTTAGGCGGCGTGGGAATGTCACCAAGCACAGGAAAAGGCCCACCAAGAAATAAACAGCAGCTGGCGGCCTCGTACTGAGCCTGACATGCACAGTGTATTCAACAATGAAGCCTAGTTTGCCTGCCAAGAAGGGTAAGCTCGGCAAAGAGCCAAGCTACCGCTCTTCCTGCTTCAGCATGGATCCAAATAACCTCAGGAACTCCAGGTTCACCATCTCGGACATTGCCCGAGCGACTTGTAGAAGAAGTAGAGCAAGGATGCCCGCACCCAGGGCCAGAGTGCAGACTTTCGCTGAAAACAGAAGAAAGATTTGTGCAAGCGCCAGGCCTGCATCACAGCGTGGACGGAGCTTTGAAGGCTATCCCCTAGAGAGCGCATGTGGCACATACATCCCTGAGCGAATTTGTCCAGCTGCTTTTTTCACAGCGGTGGCGAAACCAAAGGAAAGTCAACGGAAGCTAGGGGTGGGTGACATTAAAGAAATCGAAGCTTCCGCCAAAATGGTCACCAGATAGAGAGAACCAGCGAATCGACATGTTCTAATCCCGACCGTCGAATTCGCGAATCGCATCCGTTGTTACTTCGAACACAAGTGTTCTACACAACACTAACTGCTGATACAACACGTGGTTCACATTTTTGCGCTCCCCACACCGGAGCATAAACTCTGCCTGTAGCCATGTGCTGAACCTTCCGCTGCAGATTCAGCTTGTGGCGAAGGTTGGCAAGCATCGGCAGCCAGGCAGCAACGTACCTAAGTGCCCGCCATGCACGAGACATCGTAGAAAGCTGCTGTACAAACACTGAAGAAACCATACCAGGCGCTGTATTCCAACGATGCCGACGCAAATGGCTGAGACAATGAAGCCATACTTTGTCCGACTGGCCAACGAGGAAGAAGCTTCCTCGGAGGACAGACTCTCAGCAGGAAGGCGAGGAAAGGTTATGTAAGCTTGTGAATTCCAATATCTTCAAATCGGACGACGTAGACCTGTTCGACAAAAACAGGATGCTGCTCTGCTGTGCCGGCTGCACCACTGCCCAGCACGACAAGCAAGACTGCTGCAGATAAAGCGAAGCAAACTGCAAAGCACAGTCGCATCACGGTCCATCACGACGGCATGGACAAACACAGCGTGGGGGTTGCCACATCTGGATCAACATGAAGAGAAACGAACTCCAATACATCTGCACCAACGGCTCAAACCCCTAGACTCTAGACCTTGACACATCGTGCGCATGTCACGAATCTGCTAGTGGAGTGCATCTTGATTTGCTTATTGGCCTGCGCTCGAGCCTTGAAGTGCGCGACAAAATTCGGAGGACGGAAGCTTCCAAGCAAGTGATCCTTCTGGTGCGGGGAGAGCGCAAAAAAAACCTGCCTCTCCACCAAGCTCTTCCAGAAACCAGCGCTCCTCGTGCCTCTGCACGGGCTTTGTGCAGATTCAGAAGATTCAGGCATCGCACAGCTCTCAAGCCTTTGTAGCAAAGTGGATGCTACTGGAGTCGGAAGCAGCCTCTGGACAAGCGGGAGACACGGTTCGCAGTTCAGGCTGCACAGCCTCGAGAGAAGCGGTGGCTTCAGCGTGCTCCTGAAGCTTGCATCGCTTCAATCGTCAGCAATGGCACTGCGAGCAGGTACTGCCAAGCTGCTGTGTTTGGACACCTGTCGAGCTGCGCAGGGAGGCCACGGTGTCCTGCACTGGATTCTCGACTGCAAAGGCAGTCAGGCAGGAAACGCATCTGAAAAACACCAACCTCGCTAGTGGCAGGCCGGCGGACATTCAGCGGCCAATGCGCCAAAAAGCCTTCACATGCTTTAGACATCTTCAAATCATGTTGGGATATCTTGGAATGTGTTCCGGGGCTTCATCAATGCTGAGAAGGACACCCTGCCACAGCGCTCGGAGCGGTGACAGGCCTTTTGGCGAACCTGCAGAAAAGCTATGCCAGACTATAGCATCAGAACACGCGAGTACCAAATGGAAGTATGAAGTCGTTCCTGCTGAGACTGAGAATGCTGCACTCACGTATCGCTGGCACCTCCTTCAACAGTTTAATGCACATACCACCGAATCAGCATGAGGCAACGTGTTCCGCCTTGTCTTTGAGAACGCTGCCCTTCAGGCATGCCAAGTCACGCGAATGCACCATGAAGGGAATGAAAACATGAAAGCAAAGCATTAGAGTCAGTCAGAGCCTGCAGCTCTTCCCAGGTGGACGCCCAGCATGCCATGCCGCATTCGACAGAGCTTAAGCCCCAGCAAACAGTTGCACCAACAACGCACGAATAGCTTGGGAAATCAAGCGACGAATGGCTCATCTTCGGTGAATGGCTCCTGAAACCAACTTTGCGAAATAGTTGGTGGACTGCCCGCCCTTTCGAAGGACCTACGAGGTCAGCTGCAGTGCACAAACGATGCAGAGCTACACCCCGACCTGATTGTCTGGTACAACTGTTCCATGGACCTCGCAACACGGTCATAAGACTAGTCAACATACAGTTAGGGGCCTTAGTCACATCAGTTTGTGCTGGAAGATGCTACCAGCAACTACTGGGCAGATGTGATGGGGTCACATCATGGTCACATCACCCAGGTGCTTACTAGCAGGAACGGACATATAGAGTGTCAAAAGTATCGAGACAAGTACTGCGGAAATTGTGTAAAACACCACACTTACAAGGGATTTCGAATGCCGCGCCCAGGCGCACGAGACTTGATCAAGCCTTCAAGACAGCCAGCCGTTCCCCATGTAGACGCCCGTTTTCAGAAGCACCCACTCAACAGCAACAGCCGTAGAATCACTGCACTTCAAAACCAGCCATTCCCCTAACTGCACGCTCGATTTCCGCAGCACCCGCTGAAGACAAACATCATTGGCATCACAGCGCAACCAGCCATTCGTCATGTACACGCTCGATTTCAGAAGCACCCACTCACGATAGAAATGTAGTTGTCTCACGAAGATTTGAGGAAAACCAGCCGTTCCCCATGTAGACGCCCGTTTTCAGAAGCACCCGCTCAACAGAAACAGCCGCAGAATCACAAGCACCAATCGCCCGTCGATTGGAGCGAAGCCAAAATGGCTCAGCAGAAGCAGTGCGTGCACATGAATAGCGCAACAACTTCTACACTTCAGAGAAGCATGTGCATTCATGAAACACAATCCACTGTACTGGTTTCGTGTTGCATACAACTTCCGAACCGCTGAACCCTTCCGAGGACACTCATAATCCCAGTGCTGCCCAAGCAAGCATATTTGCTTGCAAATGTACTCCTACGCGCTTTTGTCATTGCATTTCGCGTTTTTGATGCTTCCCCCATATGCACACACGCAACGACTGGGGTCGCTCTTGGCGCATCAAACCCAGTCGATCCCCATGTAGACGCTCGATTTCACAAACAGGCGCTCAAAATTGCTCAAAAACCACCTCAGACATCAGTGGCATCGCAGCAAACACCAAATCAAAACCAGCCATTCCCCATGTAAACGCTCGATTAAACGCATCAGTGGCATCACAGCAAACAGCGCATCAAAAGCATCCATTCCCCATGTAGACGCTCGATTTTGCAAGCAGCCGCTCAAGAAACACATCAGTGGCATCACAGCAAACAGCGCATCAAAACCAGCCATTCCCCATGTAAACGCTCGATTAAACGCATCAGTGGCATCACAGCAAACAGCGCATCAAAAGCATCCATTCCCCATGTAGACGCTCGATTTTGCAAGCAGCCGCTCAAGAAACACATCAGCGGCATCACAGCAAACAGCACATCAAAAGCACCCTTTCCCCATGTAGACGCTCGATTTTGCAAGCAGCCACTCAAGAACCACCTCAGACTTCAGTGGCATCGCAGCAAAAAGCAAACAAAGCCAGCCTTTCTAGTTTACCAGCATGTCCCAGGATCCCGATTGACGCGCTTTAGCAGAACCCCCAACTGCACACTGGACATAGGACGACTTAGGGCCTGGACCCTGCAGCAAACAAACACCGCAGATCATCATCTTGAAAGCCTTTCCCCCATGTGCACGCCGAAACGCAACGACCCCGCGACAAAGCTTCCCCCGAAGGTTTGGCGCTGCCACGAACGAAACGCAACGACTTTAGCAACTGGGAGTAGTTGTTTCTTGCAACATGAGCATTTTGGGTATGCTTTCCCCCAACTACACGATGATTGGGTCGACTTCCTGAAATGTTTGCCGCAACTGCTTGCTCGATACAGATAGAAATGGTCAACTTTCCGGTTCTATACGAAATATAGCAAACACCAAGTACTTGCATGGATTCAAGAAGAGTTGATGCGACCCTCCCCGGACCCTTTCCCCCAACTACTTGCATTCATCACATGAAATCGATGCGACTAAGGACGCTGACTGTAACATGGAGCTTTCGAACCCGATCGTGGCAAGTCTTCCAAGGTGCAACTTGGTCGAAGAGGGCTCCAGGAGCGGTACATTTCAGACAAGACATACAGCACGGTGACCAAAGCAGTGCTGCGTTGACAGCACTTCTGCTCTTCTGGCTTCGACGTGTATGTCACTCGACATTATCCGGGCGCATGCCAAGGAAAAACCGAGTTTGGATATGGAATATGGAGTTCCTGCCGATGCTAAGTTCCCAGCATGTAGTACAGACTGCCATGGCCTGAAACTGTGCATCCTCGTCCGTTCATGCCACCCCAGCACCGGAAGCCATTTCTTTGATTCCGGCCGTTGAAGACCAACTTCTGAAGCAGGCCTTTCCCTGTCAGCAAGCCAGAGTTTACCGTCTTGGTATATTGGGGCAGCTTCGAGACCCCGACGATCCCGCTTGGAAGCTATCTCGGAAGGAGAAACCTCAGAGAATCTTACCACACGGCTGTTGCTCTCAAAGCATCCTAGCAGGTGGCTTCCTGAAGTCCAGCCAGGTGCATGCACAGGCGAAAGTACTGAAGGGGCAATCGTTCCATTTTCTGCACGCGTTGTCGGAAGGTCTGTGTGCCTGCTTCTGAGGCAGTCATGCTGTAGTGCGATGGAGAGCCTGACGAAAACAACTAGAGCCTGAGTCTGTGGCCTCCTGCCCGCCGCTCATGAATGTGGGACTGTTTTTGCCTGACGGATCTGACCAAAAGCAGCTTTTAGATGCTGTTAGCGGCTGTTAGCACTGGCGCTTGCAAGTCCTCGCCTCGAAGAAGGCCTGTCTTTCGCATGCTTATGTATGCGTAAAGCCTTGGCAAACTCGACAATCCGAAATTATCCGAAACACTCTCAGCTTTCTGCTTTCAGTTCGGGACTTTGGATTCTCCACCACTGCAGCACCGGTCTCGCTGATGCTCCAATCCTACAGGATCCGAGCTCGAGAACACTCCAGGCGGAATTCGAGCAGCCAGCAGCTTGAGGCCGCGCCAGAATTCGGACTCGAGAGCCTTCAAGCGGTGGCCCAACCTTGCTCCAAGGCCCTTCAAGGCTTCTGCGGTCTTTCCCTTGTTGACAACGACAAAGATACTTGCACACACTACATCTTACCAGCTCGGAAACGAGCCCAGACGATCTCCGGACAGAGAGACAAATTGAAGACCTGACGGTCTCCCAGGCGTTGTCCGAACAGTATTCACTGCATCGAACATCAACATCATGGCAGCCTTACCTGGCGCTGGTGGCAAGCATCCATGCCTGGAGGTCCACTGGCACAATATCTACCCTCATTTTCTCTCGAACACTTTTGGAAAGCCACCCATGAGAAGTGCGTGTCCAATCTCCGCTGCTTCCAACTCCAGCATCGCCTGGGCTTGTTCTCTGAATAGCAGTTTTGTGCATTCATTTTGCAAGCCTCGGTCTCCTGGAAGCGGACATCCAGCGTAGAGCCCTCCCACAGCACACGCTTCCTTCGAACGGTGACGGCCTGCTGTGGCCTGCAGAAGTTCCATCACTAGGAAGGGCAGGGATGACGAGGGACTCGAGCAGTACTGGACCTGCACCACACTCGGACACTAGGAATGCATGGCCACAACAAGGCCGGGCAGGGCCTGTGGAACAATCGGCACATTCGAGAGCATGCGAAGGACCTGGGGTGGATTGCCAATCTTTCCACCACACTGCCACAAACCAAGGCGAGAAGCATAGTCCACATGTGCCAGTTGAAGGCTTGCTTCCAACGTCTGGCTCATCTTGACAATGACCTCATGCTACCGGAACCCTTCAACAAGTTGCTGCTGTAATCCTAGGGAAAGGAAGGGCGTTAGGAGCTTCGAAGAAGGAGCAGGAGCAGGCCTCGCTTCCAACATGTAGATCTTGACACAGAGCCACCACCATCCTGCGAGGCGAAACTCAAGCCTGGACACCTGTTCTCAGCCCGGGCACCTCTTCGAGTAGCTGAGGATAGACTTTACCTTCCATCTTCCATCTATCACCTCAAGCCGTTGCCAGCAAATGTGAGACATCATTCCTCTTGGAAACCTCCTATTCTTCTGTATGCCATGTATCTGTGCACAAGGGCTTTCATGCTACTTCGCACCGTTCCGCCCGCATACATGTCCGTCCGAATGTTGGCCATCTGCAGCTTTGCCGTCCATTTCCGGAACGAGACACTAGAGAAGGAGGGAACAACGGAGCTGTCCGCGAGGATAACCGCTTTGCCGACTGGACTCTGCGGAAAGGCCAGGCTGCAAGATCTTTTATGATGGCCTGACCGGTCTAGTCCATTGACGGGGTTTACAAGCTTACAAGAAAAAATGCAGTGTGTAATGTGCATATTTAGCATATTAGCACTTACATGTCACTTGGAATATCAAGGCACACAGAAAGCTGAGACACGACAGACAAGACCTCATCGTAAGGAGCAGTATCTTGCAGTTTACAATTTGGTTAGGTTTCATCGCCTGGTACCTAGACGAACTGGTTACAACGCTGTTCCGAACATGATTCCCATGCAGTCCACGATAAGACTAACAAGAATACGTGTAGTGAGCAAGCCTTACATTGCAGCATCGATTTTGTTCCTTACCCGGTGCATAGAAGAACTTCTAGCAACGCATTTTTCCCAACTGCATGAGGACAAACTACGAAACTCCTTCGAGGAGTGACACGGTTTGTGGTTCCAGCAAGAACGGTTGAGAGGCCATGATACATGGTCGTTGATTGCTGGCTGGCATCAGCAAGGTTGCAAGGATTAGAACAGTCTAAACAGTCTAGCAAATTCGGTTTGCAAGAGCACTGGGTGTTTATGAGTATGCACAAACGGATAATAGACGTGTGAATTCTGGGAACCGTTTGCCGCGTGCTACCATTTTGTTTAAACGCGAAAAATCAGAAGAAAACTGCCAACGTAGCAGCAGCCCATCTTCTCCAGCCCATCGCGAAAGCCAATCCCACGAGCGCCCGGAGAAGAGCTTCAGGGACCGGCGTGCGATGCGACACCGGTTGGAGTTCTTCCCATCTCGTAACCATGTTCCACGCGACGCTCATATGAGGTCGCACCAAAGGGAAAATCTTCTGAGCGTGCGCAAGTAGTTGCCGGTACGATCCCAAAGGGTATCCTGTCTTGTAAAGAACGTCCCCATAGTCCCGCAACAACAAGCTCAAGAGGGGAGGGCAGCGAAACAAGCTAATGACAGCTTGCTCCGTGACACTCTCCCTCAGCCACCGAAGAAAAACGTTCCAGATCTGCTCCCTCAGCCTCAGCGTGACCTGCTCGATGAGTTCGACGTCGAACAAAGATCCTTCGCGAGCCTGCCGTGGTTTGCGAGGCCCGGGGTTCTGAGCTTCCCCTATGCGCCGTGTCCCGGTGAACGCGGCGTCCTGTAAGGAGGAACGCGGCCCTCCAGAAGCTCGCAGTAAGCTCTCGGCCAGCTCCAGGGCAGCTTTCTTTGGAAAGGCCTCGGCAGCTTTCGAAGAGGATCCCAGACCAGGGCCGCTCCGGCCGCGCGCGTGCCAGTGTTGGTGGCCTCCCAAGCAGAGGGTGTCACAGCCACGAAGGTCAGCAGTGGTGAGCACGCGCGTGCGCTTTAGCCATGGCTCGGAAAAACGGCAGCGGTCAAAAGTCCAGAAGCAAGGCCGAGGGCAGCGAAGAAGGAGCGCCTGGGCAGCAGGGTAAAGCCAGAGGAGGGAGGTGGCGGGGCCGTCAACCCAGAAGGGCACGCCCAAATCCAGGCAGAGACCCGCAAAGGAGAAAACGAAGTCGGCCGCACGATTCTCAAAGTCCACTTTGGCCTGGTTTAGGGCGCTGAGCCCGGTGAGCCCGCAAGGTTCGTCGGCAGACCGAACCCGTGGAGCCCTGGCAACAGAAAAGGTGGCACCCGGAGGAGACAGGCCCACAGCTGAGAAGCAGCCGGCCCGGAGGCCGTCAAGCAACCTAGCCTGCAGCTCGCAATCCAAAAGGTCTTGGGACGCGCCGCCCAACCAGTCATAAGTCAGCGCAGGCTGCCCTGACACTTCGACCCAAGCCTTAGCAACATTGCGGGTACCAGCGAAAAGGCACAGGTACACGGGCACCGCAGGACGAACGGAAGCAGGTTGGCGAAGGCGGTCGGGCCAAAGGAACTGGCAAGCCGAGCAGGTGAAGAAAAATGCAGCAAGGCTCGCAGAAGCAGGGCCAACATCCGGAACAGGAGGGGTGGAAAAGTCGCAAGCGTGATCAAAGGCTAAGACCGCGGAGGGATCTCGACGCGGCACTTGGGAAGGCAACGGTAATCCACATCGGTTCCGGAAGCTGGACAGGAGCTGAGGCAAGCCTTGCATCTGTTCGGGCAGCAGGTCCAGGCCGGAGAGGAAGAGGTCGAAGAGGCGAAAGTCGCCGGAAGCGCCGGCTTCGTACCAAGCTGGCGTGGGCACGCTAGCCGAGCGAGTCTGTCTGCAGCGAGTATCATCGTCGCTGGGGTTGTCCTCAGAGGCGACGAAGGCAAAAGAAGGATGCAAATTGAAGAAAATGTAGCCCGGAAGGGAGGCTTGCAAGCGCACGTTAAGTGCCACGGAGCTCGACCTCCCCTTCAGCAAAGCGCCCAGCACCACTTGCGAGTCGAGCAGACCTATTGTCCTCGCGTTTTCCCACGGGCCCGCCCCGAGCTTTTCCTCGACGAGGAGATAGCTCTCGGCTTCTTTCAAGTTTATGTGCAGCCCCGCTTTCCTCCGGAAGGAGGCGAACAATTTGAAAGGAAGGGCCCGAGCAAGAAGGGTCCAAAGCGCATGGGTACGGTAGGCTTCCCCAGGCAGTTCGTCTTGGTATGCAAGTTGGCCCGCTCGACGGAGCATGGCCTCACTAGGTCTGAGCAAGCGGTTCCACAGCCCTTTCACCAAACTGTGCCTCTGCAGTTCACGGCCCCAGGCTGGCCCGACTTGGGTGATGACGCCGGCACCTCGGTAGTCGGAAGCGTCGGTGGCTGCTAAAAGACCGCTGGAAGAGGCACGCATGTCGCTCACCAGGAAGGGGGCGACCACACACAAGGTGAAGAGTTCCACCTTAAGCTCCGGAGGGACGCGCACCACAGCATTCCGAGCGCGGTCCCGTTGCAAGAAGTAGACCCAGTTCAGGAGAGACAGGCACCGGCGGCGGTCGGCCAGGACAGAGACCCACGACCCGGCGAGCACTTCCAAGAGGCTGACGGTCAGCACCGGGAGCCTGAGGCATGCTATGGATCAGCCGCGTCCAGGCCGGACGCACGAAGCCCTGCAAACCATCAAAGTCCGAACCCCAAAAGGAGGCACAGTGCTGCTTAAGGAAAGTCTTCCCTTTGTGGACGGGCAGGGGTGCCGCTGCGTAAGCCTCAAAGGCGCGGTCCATGAGAGGGCCCGACTCAGAGGGGCCGGTGCTAAGCAAAGCACGCTCCAACACAATGAAGTCATCAATGACCACCCCTAGGCACAGATCGCCTCGGCAGGGCCGGCCCCGTAGGGAGAGGAGAGCCTCGAAAGGTGCAACGCCCCGAGCCAGCAAAAGGCCAAGGTGACTGGCCTGGCCGAAGCTCACAGAGTTGAGGTCCCCCATAGCCATTGTGAAGAGAGCCGCGGAGACCTGCTTGCACCTCCAAAGTTCCGGGCGGAAGCACTTCAAGGAGGCTAGCTCGTGAGGGGCAAAAGTGCCAACGAAGCGGTACAGTCGGCTCCTGCTTTCCGAAATTAGGAAATTATGATAAAAATCCTTCAAGTCGGTGCCCGAGGCCCAAAAAGCTTCACCGTTACGGAGCTCCAAAGACAGCAGGGCGGCGGCGGTTGGCATAAGAGCGAGCCACCGGCTGTCCCCGATTTGCACCATGTTAGACGGCCTGGCATCAACTATGAGCCGGTCTCGCGTGGCGTCCTTTGGCACAGCAAACAAGCCGCAGCAGCCGGCCATGGAAGTGCCGTCGGCCGGAAACAGGGCCAACCGGTCGGAGGCATCGAGCAGAGCTAGCAGCTCCAACCGGGCTTGCTTATTTCGGGACCTAAACCTTACCCTAGGGGGGTCGAAGGGGAGGTCGGCGAAATCCCGGCTCGAAGCGCTTGGGTCCACGTACAGGGCTCGAAGCTGATCGTCCAAGAAGGGGCACGGGTCGAATGCCGGGGCTTCGGGAAAAGAAAGGCGGTTGGCCTCAATGTCCTTTGCGGGAGCAAGGCTCGGCAGGGCAACGGAGGCTTTCTCAGAAGCGGCTTGCAAGGCAGAGAGCTGCTCTTCGATCTTTTCAACCTTGCCCGCTGCCCGGCCCATGTGGGTGGTTCGACCAGGCATTCAGCCTGCTTGCAAGTCTGGCCCAACACCTGCCCAGACGGGCGGCGGGGAGCCGAGGCCCACGCAGAGCAAAGGGAGAGCAGGCAGGGCCACGGCCGACCCGGTGCAGCGGAAGAGCCAGGAGTCTGTCAAGAAGGCGGGCAGTGAGCTGAAGAGCGACGGGGTCGCAAGTGGCAGTAGCTGTGGCGGCGGCCTCGCAGGCTACCAAAGAAGAAGAAAAGAAAGCCTCATCGACAAAGGAAGAGGCAGGTCCGCGGGAGGGGGCGCAAAAGGACAAAGTCCCGTCAGCCAGGAGCTCTGTCAAAGAATTCGCAAAAGTGCATGCATGGAAGGCTGGGGCCGACGTCTCAGGCAAAGGCATCGCTCGGCCCGGCGACGGCAGCCACAAACGGCCTGAACAGATCACTTTCCTTGACCCCCGGAGGGGCCCGGTTTGTCGCCCGTGGGGGCGTTCGGGTTTCCACCTTTGCCGCCGCCGCGGCCTCTCCCACGGCCGCCACCATCGGCAGCATCATCATCACCGCCGCCCTTGTTGCTGGGTTCACCGCCGCGGCTCCTCCCCAGCTTGCGTTTTGCATCCAAGAAGCTCTCAAGTTCCTTGACACGGTGGAGAAGAAGGTCGGACCACCGGCCGCTCAACAGGCGAGTGTGGTAGCTTTCGAGCGGGTCGAACAGGACTTTGCGACCCTGGAAAGAACCCAACGGCGGAGGGCTCTCAAGGGTGATTTCCTGCGCATAGGCCCACGAGCCAGAGTCGATGCATGCCTGGTCCAAGGCAGCCAGTGCTAGGCAGGTGCGGGCGCGGGCTTCCGCAGGCCTGTCGTCCCTAAGGGCGTCAAGGATGCCGGCCAGGCTCCACATCATGCGGATGGTGGTCGGGTAGTATCCAACCCGGCTCCTGAACTCGACCCAAGCTCTAGCGGAACTCTGGGCAGCACTGAGCGAGCCAACGGCCCGCCGCGACAAGAGATCCTCATCAAGCAGGCGCTCAATCTCTTGATGTATGAGCTCAGGGGCCTTAGTGAGGCTTTCACGCAGGAGCCGGTAAGCAGCGCCCTTCGAGCGGGAGGCCCCCGCAGTTCCATACCCGTCGGAGGGAGCGGACCCTTCTGCCAGGTCCAAAGCGGCTTCCAGACTTTGCGCACGATCTGCGGGCCGGCGCCGGTCTTGCACAAGCTGCTTCATGAGCCCCGTAGGGTGACAACGGCCTGTTCGATTGGAGCTCCGCCGGGCGCTTCGTCAAGGAGAGCGGCACCTGAATCCTGGCTGCCCCCAAAGTCGGAGCCGTCTCCCAGGGCAGCGTCAGGACCTGTACCGGCAGCGGCAGCTGGGAAATCTCCCAAGGCAGAGCGGCCCTTCTGCATGAGGCTGCTCAACTCTCGCAGCTCGGCCGGCGCAACACCTGAGTCAAGCGCGGCCTTGACGACTGCAGGATCAAGTCCGGGGACTTCTTTTGCGCGGCCCGGCGGGGGAGGCGTGCCAGGGATCGACCCAACACCACCTTGAGGGGCCTGCCGTGGTTGAGCAGCCTTAGCCTTCGGACCTGTCTTTGCTCGGGCACCTGTGGCGGCCTTCGCGGGCGGCTCCTTTGCAACAAGTTGCTGCACGCTGGCACTGAGCTGCCCAATGGTGGCCTCAAGCGCTCGGAAGCGGGCTTCGAAAGGGTCAGCCGGGAGCGGAGGACCAGAACTCAAAGCAGACTGGTAGCCGAACTGGCTTTCCGCAAGCTCCACAAGGGCCGGGGCGAAAGGCAGCAGGGGGCCGTCATGAGGCCCGAAAGTGATGTCTGGGACCTCACCGGAATCAAACACAATCTGCTCAGCAACATTGCGAGCCAGCATGCCAAACCAGACTTTGACTCTGGCACCGTCTTCAGAAACACTGGCGCGGTCCAGGGAGGACGCGCAAGCCACTTCGACAAGAATTGGCTTTGTGAAAGGGCCGGCCGGGAGTTTTCTTTTATTTGGCTTTTTGTCCCAGGCCTGGTGAGGAAAAATAGCGAGGACGCGCTCTTCAAAGGGCGCCACGAGAATCGAAGAAATGGTGCGTCGGGAGGCGCCGTCTCCAACGGCAAGCACCCCTAGCTCATAGTCATAGTTAAGAGAAGACCCGGCCACGACAAAATGGAGCTCCAGAGGTCTCTCTGCTTCATCTGAGGACTCGCCTGCCTCAGTCATGCCTTTCCACAGGTGGTCCTAGCCCGGCGGCTTCCGAGACGGCCGAAGCCTCCCACTGGGAAGGCAGCCCCACAAACACTGCAAGTTCTGACACGTAACCCGCAGGCTTGACCAAAGCTTTTGCAGCACCGAAGGAGCGGAACAGGAGAGGAGGGTTGTAGCAGACACCTCGGTGATCACGAGCCACAAGGTACACGCGACTGGCCAAGGGGTTCTCCTCACGACCGCTAGGGCCTCGATGACCGCCCGCTAGGACCCGCCTAACCCAACCCCCGATCCGTGCAGCGAGGGCCCGGCGTTCGGCCTCAGACAGTTGACCAGGCGCGGTGGCCGACAAAGCAGAAGCAATTTCGACAGCACGCTGCGGGCTGGGAACAGGTGAAGGCACAACAGGCTGGGCAGGGCGGTATGCCGTGGAAGCGGAGGGAAGCTCAGGGTCGGCACCCAGAAAGTCACCCAAAGTGGTCGGCGACGGGCCGAGGCGGTTCTCCACGAGCCGGTGCAAAGCCCGGAAAGGAGATCGATGAGGGGCCCCAAGAAAAGGCCGAGGAGGATGCCCAGGCAGAGGGAGCGAGGATCGATCTGTGCCGGGAAATCGAGCTCCGGACAGACCAAGGTGGGAAGAGGGGAAGTCTCAAGGCCCCCCGGAAAGAGCTCCTCGGCAGCACGAAAGAAGAGGGATGCCAGCGACCCTCCTAGGAGGCTGGCTTGCACAGGCCTAAGGGCCATCCACTTGCTTAATCCAAAAGCTGCACAAACATCGCTCAGAAAGCATGATCACGACATGTTCTGGACTGGGACAATGGCTTCGAATAGGCTCCAGCTGGTCTCAACAATCCCAAAGATAAATGCTGCATTGCACTGAAGTAACAAAGCCAACAGAATGTGCACGAGATAAGGCTGATATGAACTCATTGCCAGGACAAACATTATGTTGCATCTTACAGACTAGTTGCGGATAAGGTCTCATGGTTTGCAGTTGGCTTTATGAGATGGGTCCGGCATGCTACTGCAAGAAGCAAAGGTTTCATCTCGCGGTATGCAGAAACGTTGTCAAAAGCACGGGAACTGTGTTGTCCTAAGAACCGCCAGTAAGCACAATCTACAACATGTGCTAAACGCGTACTATGCAAGCTTCTTTCTGTGTGGCACAGGCATTCCAAGGAACTCAGGAATGCAGCCTTGCAGCACCCAAATGCCCATAAGAATTGCATGTTCGTGCGTTTACAAGCAATCGCATGGGGACATAGGGATATGTTGTGGACAGCTGTATGTGGCCGAAGCTCCGTAGCAATGATTAGAACAGCAGAGACTGAACAACGGGATTACGGCGTGCAATACAAACATGGAGAACTGGTAACTCTGAAATCTGGTTCGCCCTGTTACATACATGATCGAAAATAACTCAGGGCGCATTTGCTAGCAAGTTGGATAGGATATTGAGACAGCAACCAGAAGGTCATGAACTACGAAAATGTATCGACGGCTCCAGAGCAAGGACTTTAGCACGTTTCGCAGGTGTTCGATGGGGTTGTTGTAGAATTTATAACGTTGTACGGGCTTCAGCCCGTCAGCGTGCAGGTATGGATTGTCAGAAAGATACGTGCAAGTAACCACCACTCCTCTAATATTTCTGTTCGACAACATACTTTGCCTCGGTTGAGCATGGAAACTTCCTGGGCTCGTCTGAAGACTAGATTTGCAGGGATGGTGAGGAACGCAGCAAGAACCCGGGCTTTGTCGGAGATGATACGTATTGAAACGAGCAGTGTGAGAAACATCTATGATCATCCAGAGAGACTTGGGTACTCAGTATTGGTGTTAGTTTTCATTTTTCATTTGGACACAAAGACGGAAAATCACGATGGTTTTTATGCTTCGATACTATGTAAACAAAGTCAGTGTCGGCTGAATCTGGGTTGTCCGTGCCAAGCTATCCGGGAGTTCCAAGTTGTAGGAGCCTTAACAATCAGAACAGGGTTTGGGGTTCTTGTTATACCTTCCGAAGCCGTGTTCACGCGTACTTTGCTCTAGGTTTGAAGAGCCTTTCGCTTCGGTGTTTACAATTTTACAAGGTTTTCTGATTTCGGGATTCGGGCTTACCGGTAAATGCAGAGTCTTTGCACCTCGACGGGTTTGGGGGCAAGGGCTGGGGGGGCTCATTCCGCGATGTCCGCAGCTTCACTTGTTGTTCGCTTCATGAAAAGCTTCCATGTGTAGGGTCGCGTGTTTAGGCTTGCACCCTGAAGGTCTGCTGATGCTGGGACTTCATTAAGCCTGTTCAACTTACTGGTGTGGCATTAAGTTTAAATTGTGGAGACCGAGCGTACATACATACATACATACATACATACATGCAGGCATACATACATACATACATATACATACATACATACATACACAAGTGTCGCTGCCATGGTGACGATGTGTGCGAAGAAGTTTCAAGCACCGGAGAAAAGCAAGGCCACCAGGATCAGGCGAAGTCTTAGATACTGCTGCGCATGCCATGCATAACGCAGAGTTGCGCTTCCACACAACGCCACAAATCGCAACCCAGAAAAAACAACACTGAAAAAAGTGTTTACGCCGCAAGACGCAAACCAACACATCGACATCAGAAAATGCCGCGCCTGCCACGGTTTTAGAAGATACCACTGACGATGCCATGTGAAAAGCTATGACCACCATCTAAAAAGCAGCATAGAACACACGTTGTTATCTTGCGCTCGCGCCTGCGATAAGCCGTTTGTGTGCCTGCTGCAACCGCTTGCAATCAAATAACAATCACAAAACAATCCGGTGGTTTTTGTCACTACGCACGACGTATATGAGCTGCTGATATACTCAAAGACCTCCACGTCCTAGTTTTTACAGGGTCGAAAGGCTCCTGCATATTTCCTGTTTCTTGCCACTTTCTCGGTTTCTTCTTGTTCCAATGTACAAGAGCAAATTTCGCGAGTTTGTGACACTTGCTGACGAAACTCCGTCCATGAGCAGACCGAACAAAACACACTGTGTTAGCATGTTCGTGGCTTCAAAATACTCTTGCCAGCACGTGCGCCAAAGCCGCTTTTCGAGTTTTAGCGCGTTTTGATGCAAAAACGTATCATTTCCGCACCCAGAAAAACAAGGAACAATGTTATGTTTGTAGTGGTATTTACAGTACAAAACGCTTGCCTGTGCTGTCTTGCGCGCGCCTGAACAGGGCGTCGGAGCGTTACAATTACAGTCTCGGCATTCCAGTGTTTGACGGTTTGGGCCTCAAGCTAGGGTTCAGGGTGTCTCACGCACGCACTCTGAATTTACTAAAGCTGGCCGAGGGCTGCGGCCACATCTCCGCTCTTCTTTAGCAACTCCTGCCCAACGTCAAACTCGTGCTTTCCGTTTTTCCTACATTTGCATGCAACGAAAAGCTCCTGCACGTGCCCTTTCTTCATGGCCGGATTTCTGAGCAAGGCCTGACCCCAAATCTATGAAATGCTTTGAGAGCCTGGGGCGCAACGATGCCTTCTGCAGTTTTGCAAGGATCAACTGCACGTGACCGTACAACTCCTCCACAGGACAGCCGCGGGGTTCCGAGACATAAAAACCGAGCGGTCTTGTCCTCCACTGTTGGCACCGGGAGATCCTCAACAGCCTGCAGCGAAGTTCTCGCTCATGGGCTCAAGTTGCGGCAAATTGCAGCGCCCCGTGACGTGCTCAGCAGATCTCTGCGGGAGATGCCTTCCTTTCCGACACAAGCAACTGCTCGCAGAGGAGAACCTAACCAGGTGCTGCCGAACATATGCTGCCATTGCTTGGGAATGGAAGTTACCCAAAACAGATGGGGGGCCTCTGGCTTCTTCACTGGGGTCTGAGCTTCATCCGAATCAGGCTCCTCAAACATGCTGCCCCGAAGACAGTGTCGAGAGGCAGCATGAGAAGGAAGGCAAGGCCCATGCGCGCAGCTGTGTGAGAGCAAGCAAGATGCTGTGCACCCCGCAGCCTCATCTGACATCAAGGATACGCCCCGTTTGCGTGCGGTTTCGTCCAGCAAACGCAGTCTCCTGAGCAAGTCAAAACAGAGGGTCGGGCTTACTTGAAGCCTCCTGACGACAGCAGATCCGACACGGTCCTTCGAAGTAGCGCGTTTGAATTTGTCAAGGCCTGCAAATTTGCACAAGTTGGCAAGTCCGTGATCGATCGCAAGACTGCGCAGCTGCTCCGGACAGCCGCACAAATACATGCAACACACAATGACGGGTCTGAAAGGCAAGTGGGCACCTGCAGCTGTGATTGATAGCTTTCGGTCTCTGTTTTCAGTCTTTGTTCGAGCTCTGCCACCTGAAGCCGCTGCACGAATCCATACTCGTGCACAAAAGCCTAAAGCCCGACTTCACCTGAGCTTTGCACATGCCCTGCCGCATCTGCCCCTCCCAGGTCCAGACTGGATCCAAGTCCTGGCGCTGCGTGGCGCTCTGTTTCAAAGTTGAGCCAAAGGTCCAGCCTCCGCCTGGATCCGACATTCTTCTGTTTCTAACCCTGGAACTTGTCCTCGAAACAAAGTGCACGGCGTGTTGAGCAGGAAGGGAGCGCAGCAGTTCTCTCTAAGTGTCTGGCGCAGTGATGGATGAGGCGGCCTTGGAACCGCACGAAGGGAAGCCACAAGCATGGGCAACTCGCATGTCCACACATTGCCACGCAATTCCCGTAATTTTGACCGCACATGCATCAGGATCTACTATTTCGGAGCAGAGCTCCAGAAGGGTGTCGTGACTACAAGTGCCAATATCGATAGTAATTCCGGTAATTTCTTGAAAACCATTACTCTGCGGCCTTCCATCACCGGCAAGCTGCAGACGAGCATCTATGCAGGACAACGGAAAAAGTGAGGTTAGCTAGCAACTCTCTTGGTTGCAAACTTGCGGTGCAGGTAGGCACCACAGCATCTTGTTTACTCGACTCTCTGCCGTCCAAGGCGTGTGCAAGTCGTGGTTGCAAGCCGTTTGGACTGGAAGTTGGCCTATGCACACTCGGAATCTGTACCTCAACTCTGCAAACTTGGCCACCATGGTCAGTTATCGTAGTGAGCAAAATCACGCCCCACCACTGGCACATGCTGCACAAACTGGGCGATCGTGTCCCGCACTCAAATACACGACAAGGGCAACGATGTCATCGACGTAGTCAGCCTAGTTCACAAGATGCGGAACCCGATTCCAATATAATATCTATGTCCTTACCATCCTCGCGAAACAAGATAGGCTTTGTACTCAGTGCGGCAGCAAAGTCCATGTGTACCATTCATATATGTATTATATTCGTCGGCTCGAGGTTTGCAAGACCAAGGGGGCGACACGGAGCAAAAACCGTCGCAAGAGGTAGCCCTTTTTAGCACTTCTTGTCATCGATTTCTCGCACATTCATCCGCCAGTCTCGATCTCGGGGACGCATGCGGGCGCATGGCCATCATGAAGACAGTTCGAGTTCGAGATTTTTCCAAAAATTGGAGGCCAGGTTCGAGTTAGCGTCGGTGTCTCTTTCGCAACGGGGTTCAAAAAACTCGGGTCCAAGTTGGAGCATCGGAACCCGGATTGGGTTTGGGTGAGCAAGGGTCTCGAGCTTGAGTTCGAGGACAGCTTTTTGGCGAAGGGTGTTGCGATCCCAGGTTGAGTTCGAGCTTGCTTTGGACTTGGGCGGTCGGGGATTGACTTCGAGAGCCGCTTTTGGTGATGGAACGGGGTGGATGTATAAAACGGATTTGCGCACCGGGGAGTCGCACGGAGAGGCCCGCAGCCGAATGTCTCAGCAACTATGAGGCCCACGAGCCTTTTAAAGTGTGAGCATTGGCTCGCACCCTAAGTCTCGTGTAGAAGCCCAAACCCTAAAACCCCTTGAACTCCAGCACCACAGATTCCTAAACTCGAAAAACCGCTGACTCCCCAAACCATAAATCGCCAAACCTCACAGACCCCCGAACCGTAAATCGTCAATCCCAAAAATCATGCTAGCATAGATCCCCCGAACCGTACATCGCCAAACCTCAAAAAACGTGTAGGCTAGCGTAGAGCCCCCGAAAAATGAAACTGCAACACGACGACCATGACGGCCATGACCGTTACAACCATGGCGACCACGCCAGGAAACCACGAGGAGCCCCAGGACAGCGGGCAAGGCCAAACTGCGTTCCCCGAAGTACTGGCAGATTCAGGACCATGGCCCGAATGCTTTCCTTCAGAGCTGGCGCTCTTCGGGAGTGCTTTCCCTGAAGTACTGGCGGGTCCCGGACCACGGCCCAGACCTACCCAATAAGAAACTGCGGACTCAACGAGATTCGGAAGGATGCTGCGATAGGTTCTCGAAACAAAAAGTCGCCCCATGTTTGTATTGGAGTTTACAATGAATCCGGCTGTCCCTTGCGTGCGGGGGTGGAGCGTCGGCGAAATTGAATTCGATGCAAGTTTTCATGAGAGGGTTGGACTTCGAGCGAATCGCCTTGCACACAACGCCTGCACCACCAATCACCAGACCAGCTGCTACGTCCGCATTGGGTTCAACACTGCTGAACCACCGGCAATCTGAGTCTAGACATTTACCTTTCCATGGCATCCCCGACTCAAGCATTGCAAGAGGCATCCATCCGTCCAAGCAGCGCGCTCTAACCATCGACTACGTGCCTCATGAACAAGAGCCGTGGCAGAGGCGGCGTCGCTCTGCTTCAGCACCAATTCCACAGCCTCCTGCAGCTTTTCAGAGGCTGCATAGCAGTGTAGCAGGCGTAACACTCACAGGCATCCCTCGGTCCTGTGGACTCACGAACTCCCAGATTCCATCACTGCAAAGCAGGAGGACTTGATCTTCTGCAGCAACCTTCGCATAGAGCTTGGAGCGACTACAAGCGACGCAGCTTGGGCTGCAGGCAGCAACTTGCAACTTGGCAGCCACATATTCGCCAAGTTCCGGATCTGCAATGAGTCCACAATCACAGTGCGCATTCAGATCACCCAAGGATCTGGTCATATTTAGACCTGCACCATAGCCATCCTTGTCATAGACACGGTAATCGGCAAAGCCGTCGAACTCGATCCTGCCGCCCCACGCCACCTTTGCAAAGCTCTCAGACATCCAAGAACATTCAGGGACGGCCAAGCGGACACAAGGGACCCAATTGACTGAATCCAAGCCGCAATCCGGTCTCGCTCATCACACAAAGACGGCTTGTGGTCCCGGGTAAGTTGACGAGCACGAAAGTCCTTGCCGCTTTGGCCTCGTCAACTCTTAGGAGTGCAAGGAGGAATCCTTCACGACTCCTACCTGCTCCTTCGGCTGTAAACTTGCGGAGGATTTCCGCCAAAAGTTGTGGAACACACCACCTAGAATCTAGCAAAACTCGCCCTTAACCTCTCGTCCCAGCTTCTTCCGACAACAGCACTGCTGTCCCCAGCATGTGCAAGCAGCAACCGGCCAGTCTGGTGGTTATGCAGGACGGTCGTCGCCGTCGTGCCGGACCAAAGCGCATCCAGTTTGCCGCAGGAGTCAGCAGTGTCGATAAGCATGTGACAGAGGCGAAAAGCATCAAGAAATATGGGGCCCATGCAGCCAAAGCTGCCGGTGCCTGTGAAACGCTGATCTTTGATCAGGAGTCTTGGCAAGTTGCTCTTGACAAAGTTCGCCACATCGTGTCCTCAATCGCAAAACTCCCCTCAAAAGACGGAAGACCTGCCCAAGAAGCACCTCCGCCAACAAAACTAGTCCGACAAGATGCCATGTGGCCCATGACCATCGCAGACGGTGTAGAGGGTAAATTCATTTTCTACCCGCAACAGGCTCCATGCATCTTGGTTCGAGCTGCCAGGTTTCAGGCCTTTTTGGCAAACACACTGGAACTTGGCGTTGGTTGTCTCTAGGTCCTTGCCCAATTTCTCAGCCGGCTTCACCATGTCCATGTCACGATGATCACGGGTCCAAAGCTCCCCGTCGTGCCACAGCAGCCGGTCTTCTACCAGCCTTGCTCTCCGCTTTTCTCCCGCGACAGTGACTGAGAAAGCATTCAGACCATCCCAAGTCAGGGGGCGGGTGACAGCCCCATCATTCACCAAAGAACCGCGAATAGTTTTTTGGCCTGGGAATACACTGGAGATCCATCGACCATCAATATTCGAGTTTGTGGAGCAACACACCATGGAACTCGCGAAAAACTTCGAGCTGAGCGTCTCCAGTGGAGTTTCTCGGTCCAGCTGATCCAACAGCTCCAGGTTCTCACTATCAAGGTCACACAGGAGCCAACCATCGCCAGTGTCTTTTCCAGCGACGATGCTGTTCCAAAATGCGACGTGTTCGAAATCTTTGTCACTGGCATCTTTGGAGAGACGGTAACACACTCCCTGAGCGCTCTCTCCCAGCTTGCTGTTGTCAATGCGGAAGTGGCGCTCGTCTTCCTTGACAAGCACCCCAGTCCCTGAGCAGGGCAGTTGCAGCTAGCCCACAACAACGATCAACACTCTTGCCTCGTATTTCAAAGGGCAGGTATCGAGTCCGATACTCCACTTCCATTTTGTGGGATGTCCAGTGCGCCGTTAAGTGGTGCTGCAGAACGTGGCTGTACCTGGGTCTCACCGGGTGCAACAAGTCTGGCGTTCGAGCATGCTAACAAGAAGCACACGACAAGCTGCGGCATCTGCCTCACGCCATTGACTGAATCATGCCGATGCCAATCTACACCGGCTAGGGGTCTCGAATGCTTTTCTCTCAACGGATTCTGCAGGTTCCGCTTCGCAAACCCAGCCTAAGCAAAGAGGACCTTTTGCCAATCGGGCTATCGGGCCTAACACATGCCATACACCTAAAGCTTTCACAGAAGCACTTGTCTCACCCCCGTCCCTAGCGCTTGTGACCAGCGCATTTACAGAAAGGCGGTTCGACAAAGACTCCTCTTGCATTGCTGCTAGAATAGCAGCTGCAATTCTATGAGCGGCCGAGCTGCCATCTCGAAGCTTTAGGCTGCTCCTCTGCCTTTCCTCCAGTGCACCCCATGGCTACATTGAGCGGCTCATGGTTCCCCTCCCTGCTCTGAAGGACTGGCGATCATGCACGATCTGTGCAGCGCAACCATGCACAGAAGTCTGCAGGCGCATTGCAAGACAGACCGAGGACAGCACGGTGCTGCGAGAGCTGCCGACCTGACATCGTGTGGAATGGTGGGTCCCGTGGAGGCATGATCAGACACACCGAAGGCCCTGACGGCTTGCAGCTGAGCTCGCAATGCCTGCAAGTGGTTGGCGACCTGCAATCAGCAGTCTTCCCATCCGGGAAGATGAGTGGAGGATACAGTGTAATGAGTGGAATCTGATGCACTCCTCTGTCCTCTCTCCTCTTCCTCGCCTTGCCGTGGGCTTGGCTCAGCTGCTGAAACTGCTTCTCGGGGACCGTGGGTTCCAAGTGGCCGCGCTCAGAAGGTCCACGCAGTTCCTGCACCTCTCGTTGCAGCAGCAGGACTCGGTTCTGGAGTCTCTGCACCTGACAAGCTCTTCGTGGCGGGTGAACTGATTTATGCAAGTGCTGCAAGGATGGATGAGTAAAGGTAACTTGACCAAGTCCAACACCGTCTGATCAACTTTTACGCTCGCAGGTCCGCGGTTGGCGAGCCGTGTGCGGGTCGAATTTCTACAAGCAACTGACGAGGCTTGGGATCACTGCCCGGCCAGCAGAGTCCGAAGGTCGTCGTTCGCAGCGGACACCTGGGATCTTGCCTCTGCTCCCAACTGTAAAAAAGCAAAGACGGGCTCTGTTGCGGCATGTGTCGTGGCGGGATGACTTGGGTGTCCGGCACTTACTGCCGGGACTCCTTCGCAGTCAGCTGCCAAGGGGGTCCCTGGTGGCAGATCGCAGGACTTGAAGTTCCGTCCCACGGAGCGCAAGCACTCCTGGACCGCAGGCGAAGCTGGCTGGAAGGCCTCCGGTGCCAACTCCTGAAAACGAAGCATCTCCTGTCGCAAGGCGGATTCCTCGCTTGGAACTCTTTCCATAAGCAGAGTACCCGGTGGAAAGGCCGTTCCATCCGTGAAGACCAGAGCAGAGATTCGCTCGCGTGCTGTTGGCTCAACCTTCAGGAGATGCACCATGGAAGGAGCCCCATAGGAGTGTGCGACCACCAGCACGCAAGATGCCAAAGAAGAGGATATGTAAGAATTCCAGAGAGTGTGAAGATGTCGATGAGGGCTTTCCGACCCACTGACGGCAATGCCATTAAACTCATTCACATTCGGGTTGGCAACCATCACTGCCCAGCCCAGCGATTCTGCTCGAAAGATGTAGTCAAACATCGCGCCTTCGTGAAGACTGGAATTGATGCAAAGACTGCGACCCCAGACCCCAGCAGCACCACCAGGAGCAGAGCCACAAACAAGGAGCAGCAGCGGACCAGCATGCTCTTTCAGATGACTGCTCGCATAAACTACTGAGTTCGCCTCTTTGGCGTCCAGGGGGAGAGGAAGCGGAACCAAACCGCAAAGAGCCGTCAGCTGGAGCTGCACGTAGGACCTTAAGCTCAATAATTCCTGTAATCCAGGCATCCGTGTACTAATACTATCCTTGCTTTCGTTCTCAGGCCCATGACGCTTGAGTGCGCTCTTTCACTAATCCTGGGTCCCATGCACAACCGCATCGGCAACTTCGTCGTAGTTCTTCTGGTCCTACGGACACTGAGCCAACAGTCTTTCAGTATTCAACCAGCCCGTCTTGGCTCAGTCCAGGTCCTTCCACTCGAAACCCTTCTCTGGATCCGCCTTCTGTCTCAGCACGAGGTCGCTCTTGCCACGTGCAGCCGGCCTTCAGATGTCGCCCACTCACCACCGTGCATGCCACAGACTGTCAAGCAGGTGACGAGAGCCTGAACTCGTAGCCGAGCTTGGCAAGGGCACTAGCTGCATACATGGCCAAGGATCTGGAGTAGTCTGTCGATGGTGGGAATGACGCATGTTCTCACTATCTGCAGCTGCATCAAGGGCTGCGAGTTGCGAGTTCTTGAACAACAACGGCTCCCGGGAGACAGGTAAAGACAGAGAGAGAGAGAGAGAGGGAGAGAGCACTGAACGGCCGGATCTGCTCGGGTCAAAGGAGTGCCTGGTGCTGCTCTTCTTTCTCGAGGTCATCCTCCAGAGACTCCCTGACAACAAGCACTTATTTGCATAAACACGGATACATTTTTCACGAAGCTCCCCGGCCTTGCGGTCAAGGCATGGGAATCTGGAGCAAGGGCCTTGAACATGAGCCGGAACCTCGAGCAATGACGCACGTAGGAGATAGACTTCAGTGCAGCAAGGAGGGTGGGACAGACTCTTTTTTCCACGTGCCGATGCGCGAGCTATGTCCCACCTGCAGAACATGGGTCTGTAAGGTTAGCTCCTGCTTGTCAACGCAGGTGTCACATCATCTGCTCCTTGCCTTCTCTGCACGCTTCCGAATCTCAACGTGATCTTCAATGTTCGAATGATTCACAAAATTTCTCATCAATGTAATTGAAGGAGTAAGACTTTTGGCCCAGTGCCACCAGCGGGCTGGTAGAACGACTGTTTCTCCTTCTTCAACTACCACACTGTATGCTTGTGCCCTGCGGGCATCCGGAAAACATGTGTAGTCTGGATTTGAAGGATCAAAGAGAGATGTACGTCCATCCACCTCGTCAACCGGCAGACTGTGCAACAGAGGTGTCTCTCCAGGTGGATAGCAGATAAACTGCTTTCTGCCACGAATCTGAGACAGCCAAACGTGTGTCGCATAGGTGTCGTGGTGAAGACGCGAAACCGTTCCGGCTGGACCCATGAAAATCTTCGTCAAACTTGCATTGAAGACTTTGGCAGGGCCGTCTCCGGTTGGTATGGAATCCGAGACACAGTACAAGCGATCAGATACGTCCGAAAGCAGATCTTTGTGATCGAGAAACGGTGTCCAACCGTTTGCATAGAAAACCCGGTCAGGGGCTTGCAACGGTCCAAAAATATTGGGACGACCTTGAACGTAGCGCACAAATTCCCGAAGCGGGGCCTGCACGGTGCGAATGTTGCCACGGTCGCAATGGCGAAAGAATGGTGCCAGATCGCTGCAGGGCATCATCTCGTCCCCGTACTGCTCCGCAAGCCACTCGAAAGTCCACTTTTGCCGTGCCGGCCATGAGTCCTGCGCATCCGTCAGGACAACTGGCGTGCTGTTATGGAAGTTCTCGTCCATTTCTGCCACAGAGAGGCCCGCACATTTGTGCACTGGCTTCGCCCCTTCCACGACCACTTCAGGCAAAGCAGTTGGCAAAGGCTTCGGTGTCGCCTTGTCCATCTCTAGCAATGAACACACTGGAAGCCAAAGATGTGTGCCCTGTGCATGATGCGCTGCCGCTACCAGTTTGGCAACAGGTTCTCTGCGAAGGAAGAAAACACGATTCCAGGCCACCATTCCTCCAAAGTCATTGTCTCTGCAGGCTTTCTTTGCAACTTCGGCGCCGGCAGTCACAGTACCAGCATCGTTGCCAGGCAGAGCATCTGTGTGCAGGACAACCACCCATTCATCAAGCCCCTTCTCTGCACAGTGCTCGCGATGTCCCTTCCAGGCTTTTCGCTGACATGCTGGCGAGCAAAATCGCACATTGTGGCAACGACTGCAGATAAAGGCAGCACCGGATGCCCCGCAGTTGCAGCACTTGCTGCTCGTGTCCTTTGCTCCATTGTGAAACGGAATCTCTTTCAGGCCTGTCATGGAGGTACAGGGAAAGTCTTGGTCATTCCACAGGCGTACGCCTATCATGTGCTTGGTCAGGCAGGACGGGAACTGAACGGAGGAAAAATATCAAGATATCCGCTTGGCCTACCGTTTGCCTGATTTAGCCTGCACTGGAAAAGGAATCCCTCCGTTGCTTGAAACCGTGCTCGACTCTGGGCCTGCTGCTTGGCCTTTCCGGGTTTTGAGATCGCATCGGGCGCATCAAACGGGAAGAACAACGGGCAAATCGCGCACAAATGTCAGAAGCATGAAGTCGCTGGGAGCCCAACTCCAACCGCGTGATTTTGCTGTCCCGGTCGGAATCGATCCTGTCATGCGACCCTCAATCGGTAGATGCCGGATTCACCTGAACCTAGACAAGCAACGTCAATGCTAGATTCCATGCCCCCTCGTGGGAGATGCCACATCTTGCCAGGAATTGCCAGGTCCGTGAAACTATGCCAACGAGCATTGGCTCACGTGTTTTGCAAAGCAAGGATGAGGTTGCAGGGCCAGGCTCGCAGTATCAGGTAGATGCAACCTCAGTCATCTACCTCCAACTCCCAATCCTTCTTCAGTAAGTCACGCTGGCTGCACAGCTTGAACACCTGCTTGGCCTTCACGGGATCGTAATACAATCCCAGCCTGACAACGGCAGAAACCCGTGGACTGAAAGCACTGTAAAACCTCTTTGCATGGCCTGGTTGACAACATCTCTTGGAAGTGCTCTGCTGTGATGAAGGGGCTCAAGGTATCGAAGCACACGTCCGGCGAGACCTGAGGATCGGGCGGTCATGGGCAGCGTCCGGAAGAGGACACGCTGAAATCACTACTTACGATTTACGGCTCTTGACATTGCAGTGCACAGCACAGGCGGCTTTTTCGGGCACCATTCCGGGGCACCCAGCGTCTCCGGCTCGTCGGACGAGTTGCTGCACCAACTGCTCCAACACCTCCCAGGATGGAGTGGAAGCAAATTTGTAGACGCATTTGCATACTTTGGCATCGCCACATCACTGTGCCAGCACAACCACTGCCATAGCTACAATCCGAGCCCCCATGCCTCACGGCCAACACCTTCGCGCAGCAACTTTCGTGTAACATGCGCAGCTCCTATGTAACGGACGCTAGTATATCGGAAGCAGCAGAGGCAGTCCGACCTCCGGCAGGGCCGTAGTAACCTGCACCTCCTGCACCTGCTCATCTTGCCAACTGCGCACGCTGAAAACATTGACGTGAAGCCCAGAAACTGAAATTTCGCAACGTCTTATTAGCGACAGCTCGAGGTGGCAGGAGATGTATCACTGCAAGAATTGTTGAAGCCCGCAACACGCGTAATCCGAAGCTGCGACAGCTGCGACCCGGCAAGGAGAGGAGTTGCTGATTACAGGCCTGCCGATAATGCGACCCAAGACGTAAGGAGCACCAATTACGGCACTGTCGCCCTAGGGCTGCTCACACTGTAAAACGTGAGCCCACCCGTGACGGTCCAGCACGAAGGCGCAGGGTCTCGGTACGGTTGACATTTGTATTCAAAAAAGGTGGACACAAGCATCGATGCTGCTGCTGGGATGGAGTGCTGACGTGGGCTTGACAATGCCTCGAACCCCACGTCGAACATCCTGCTTTGACAGCAAAAGGTGTCCTCCAACTGAGATTTGACGGCCTCTAGGATGCATGATGCTGATGGCGCAGGGAAGTACACCACGGAAAAGGCACACAATCGCCGGACCCACCAAAACCTCGAACGAAGCGGACTGTTACTCGTATGATTTCGGGCCAAGGAGCATCACAGCAAGCTCGTCGCGCATTGAGTTCCAAAAAACAACTAGTTTGGACTGAGATGCCGGGGTCTACAAGCGCCGGTATTCGCCCACGTCAAATACCCTCTTCACATCCGAAGTGGTCAGCTGCATGCCATTGCGGGTCATCTGTAAAAGGATCCCCTTCAGAACATTCCACTGAAAAACTTCTATTCTATGGCACATATTTCCAGGATAGCGTGCACCTTGCCCCGGTTGTCGCTCACCAGGCGGATTATCAGCAGAATAACGGCAAGAACAACCATAACCACCGCTATAACCACGACGGCAACCACGGCCAACAGCAACGCCGATCCTCAAAACGGTTAGTATCATGGTTGCCGTCCTTCGGGATTGCACAGAGTGCGAGTTCAGGTTGCCTTGAAGCCCAGGAGATGACAGCTCGTTCGGACTGCTCGTCAGCGTGGGCCCGAAAACAACCTGACCGAAACAGGCATTCTTGGATGCTTTCTCAAATGTCGGCATAGCATCTGCACCGGGATGGACCTGATAACCTATCAAGGCTACACGAGTGTCGAGTGCATCCTGCGAGGGAATCTCATTTGGTTGCACTCCTAAGCTGCAAACCGCTACGACACTGTCGGATGGCAAACGATCTCGGTCGCCACCAGCGTGCCTACGAGCAGAACTTGCACTCAAGAGGACCAGCGGCAGCTTGCCCAAGCCTGACTTGCACGGCGTCATCGGCACACGTGGCCTGCAAATACTTCCAGAGTCGGTCCTGCCAGAGGCTAGAAATCAAGTAGCAAGCACAGCTTCAGGGGCACATTCGTTTCAGGACAAAGACGGAGACAGCTCGTGTCTGTGCTGCTTGCGGGATTTGCCATGTAATGCAAGCTTTAGTTGCTCGTTGTGGGGCATAGATCCTAGTCGCAAGATGTCACAAAAACGGGCAGCTGCTTTCTGATGTCTGAAGGGAAATCCTGAATCTGGAGCCTCTCTGGATGGCGGCTCTGACGGAATAAGCTTGGGTGGCACAAGAACAGAAAGAACACCGAACATGCAAGCTTGACAGGCTACCGGCCACTGCCTGCATGTTCCTTAACGAGCATCGAAAGTTGTTTATCCCAACGGATTCCAAGACCCGTCCAGCTGAGAAGGACGAAGCTGAGTCAAAAATCGGAGAGCGACGTCTCGAAACTCCTGATTTTGTGACGGCACGTGGCAGCTCGCAGGCACAAACACAACTGTCCTTTTCCACGACAAGCCCGGGAGGGAAAACCGACTTGATGTTCAAGCCTGCATCCTCAAGGTGCTGAATTACAAGTCTCTGCAGACTGCTGAAGAAACTGGCTCCTGAATCAGCGTGGCTAGCTGATGGAATGTCTCTTTCACCCAGGCTTCTGAGACGTGGCATTTGGCTCCGGCCTCTGCATGTTTCACATCATCTCACATCTCACAACTCCAAACACGGCAGACCAAGATTGGCACCGCTTCCAAGGCGGCCTCAAGCCTGAAATGTTACTCCAGGGACACATCAGGCCATAGACATCAAGCATAGTCAGGCCGTCAGGCCCTTCGACAGCAACCATGGCAGTTTTGCTCATATACGCTCAACATCCCTGATCCAGAGACATTCATCCTCTGGAAGACCTGCAACGAAAATGCCACAGTCTGTCCGCTTACACTTATGCATACACACACATACACAGTCTCAGCCTGGGAAATCTCACGCTTTGTGAGCTGAGCATCCTGCAGAACCGGAATTGCAGAACGGCATTGCGAGACCAAACTTCAGCTCTTGACACGTCACTCACAGTTGCGTCACCTGCACTTATGTATCGGCTTCGTGATGTCAGCAAGCTCCTTCAAGAGGACCTGCACGAGCTTGTGAAACTCCGCCAAGTTCAGGTGTTGATCCTCTGCAAACGCGGGCTTCTGCAAATCCCTTGTCAATCTCAGAATCTAGACAGCTTCTTCTTGCCAGACTCAGGCTTAGATCTTCAAGCTTGAACCGACCGCGCATGTCCACCGTGGCTTGAGTTGAAGATGACGACTTGGCTTGGAGTCTCTCTTACACCTCTGCCGACAGGTTTCTTGCTCTTTGAAGACTTAGTGACGACTCAAGCGGGCGCTCTGCCACGGGGCAGCTTCCCCTAAACACGCGCCGTGCAACGGCCACGAATAGCGGCCAGTTTTCGTCAGGCTCCGTCCGCACGAGAGCGGATCCGAACTCCCCGTTGCCCTCAAGGCTCCCCCAGCACGAGTTCGGAGTTCCGAGACCACGCCCTCCATTGCCACCTTGTTGCTCGACGTCGCGGCTCCATCGGCACGGTGATGGCTCGTGCCGCGCGGGCTGCGTCGGCACAAGTACAGGCACCGTGCTCCCCGGTGCCTTGCAGTTAGCGCACCTCTTAGCAAAAGAGCGTGCCAGCAGTGTCGGAAGCGGAGGGTGGACTAGTTGGGGAGGAAAGGTTGAGCCCATAGAATCTCACATCCCGCAAGGAGATGGCTGGGCAGGGGGGTTCGGTCGATCGTCAATTCGTTTTGGCTTCGGCGGCTCCACTGCTGTTTTACCCAGGCATTGTCTTGGTCCCTTGAAAGCAGGCAATCGACTAAGGCCAGAGGTTCGTTTCAGATCCTGGCGACGGTTCTCTCCATACTTTTGCCAGGGGGTCGAGCAGTCGCCGACCAGAGATGCAATCGAAGCGCTAAAGATACCCATGTTAATCGATGCGACAACGAAGCTCGTCTGAGCGTCCCAGTTCTTGTCGGCAGTGGCGTAGACGCGTCGGACGCCGCCCCGTGCATGGAACTTCCGGTAGAGGTGCATGGTCACCTCAGCCCGAAACACGAAAAAGCTTGCAGGAAACGTCGACAAACTGTCTCCAAGTTCCCTGCCACCTCGTAGTACTCGTCCGTCATCTCTCCATTGGAGTTCACACCTGAACTGCGTTCTGAGAAGCGTGTGAAAGCGTCGGACTCGGCTTCGGGACGAGGCCGGCCATTCTCATGAACTCGAAGAGGTCGATCCTGCCACTGCCGTCTTCGTCAGCGAAGTACCTCTCACTGCACGGATCATTCCCTTCCAGTGTCGATCTTGCCACCACCGTGGGCACCAAAGTCGCGTCAGCTGATCGCTCTTGATGGATGGCTCGAACCTTGATGGAACCATACCAACAAAGAGCCTGGTAAAAGTATGATCCACTTTCGCAGTCAAGCGTCTGTCTCAAGACTGTTTTGAAGGACTCTTCAGTCAGGACACCTCGCAAAGGTTGCCAAGTCGATCAAGAGTTCTCATTCAACAGGAATGTTGAGACCTTTGCCGTTGGTTGCATGAGCTGCAAACACGTTCCGGAAAGAGAAGCTGCCGACCTTCGCGAACAACGACACAAGGGCAGAAAGTCAAACCGCCAGCCGCTTCTGCCTCCATGGCCATGGAGGTCCGCCCCAAGACGTATCTGGCATATTACCACACCAAAGCACAGCACGAAGCGGCAGAAAAGACTCAAAAAGAAACGATGTCTATGTCGAACACGTCCTCTAAGCCCGCTGCCCTGCCCATCGGTCGCCCAGTTCGGCCAGCGCAGGAGTGTTGAGCCCCATCCTGAAGAGCGGCCACCGCTGCTTGCTGCTTCTCGCTTGGCCTGGCAGCCCTGTACGAGCCCTTGAGTCCGCCGCTTGCGCAATCGCAGAATACTTGGATGCATGACATTGGGATCCTGCACATGCACAGTTTCCGCGAAAGAAGTGCTCCGGAATCTCACTGAGTTGCACGCCTTGCGAATCCTTTCCTTGGTCTGAAATTGCATGCAACTACTTGTCTGGCTGCCATGCTACATGTTTTGGGACTCGATCGATATCGTCCAACAGCTTTCTGATCTTTTGGTCTTTCACCTCGATGGTTTCCTCACGAAGTGGACAACGTAAAACGATGGCGTTCTGCCAGGAGAGCCGGCGTCGACATCTGTCCTTGAGCTTCCGGTTCTCTCGGAGTACGGTCGCCATCTGCAGGTTTCGTTCACGACTCACGAAGAAGCATCGCGCCAAATCAGCCAGAATGGCGCAGGAAATGTCTTCAGAAGTCGCGGCGCTTTACACAAGACAACCCCTGCGAATGTCGACCCAGGTAAAAATGAGGGCAAAATCGCTACTCTGTACTGCGGAGCGGTGCATCTGATGTTCACGGCGGGTCGTCTCATTTTACAACTTGATGGCCACTGACGTTCTGGTGACACCACTGCCGGCAAGAAAGTGAGTGCCAAAAGCAAAAGCAAGTTGAGAGAAAGTCAAAGACCTCTAGCCGAAAGTCTGGAGAGATTCAGCGCACATGGAATGCTTCGTGACTGCCATTTCGATCATTTCGGACCCCACCTTGGCCCGCAGCTCCTCCACCTGTTCCGCGAGTCGCTCAGCTCCTGTCGCATTGCCCAAAAGTTGCAAGGAGACGGAGAGCAAAGCGGCACACGCCTCGCACCCCGACTTGACGGGCCGGCGGCGGTGCCGTCGGTGCCGTTGGTGCCGGGTTCGCCTCTCCGAGCTCCGACTGAAGACTCTCGGCTCTCCGTTGCACACGGAACAAGCGGACTGAGGCCCACCAGATTTCCTGCAGACTGGGCCGTGGCAGGCCTGCCATGCCAGATTTGTCACGTCATGAGCAGATTACCCAGCGTCCACCTCGAAATCTCCTCGTTGGAGTGCTGTGGCGGGTCACACTCCTGATGGTGATCAAAGCTTCAACAACACCGGCTCCGAGCGTCTCATTGTGTCTCGACGCTCTCCAGCACAGCCGCGCCTCCTTTTCCAACTTGTACCTCGGAGTTGCTGATTTGCAGCGAATGCAAACCACATTACACGACGGAACGTCTGAGCCCTGTCACAGGAATTCATCGATGACATTGCTCGTGCCTTCACCCGCTGTTCGTGGACGGCTTGCGACCAAACAACTCTAGGGTAAAAGCTTGATTCACCGCGTTTCTCTTGCACGAGCCCGGTCTTTATGGCTTGGTGATTGCCAGCTTGACTGATGGTCTTGCTAAAAGACTTGCTGCTCGGATCCTGTCAAGGGGAAAGCAGCAACAGATACAGAAGCACTAGCAGCGGCTGCTGCTGTAGCTGTACATGCAGCTGTAGCTGTAGCATGGGCACAAGCAGCAGCAGTAGTAGTAGTACGGATGCGAGTATTAGCAGCAGTGGTATTGATGCTCGAATCATGCCAATTAGGACTGGCACTGGCCCTAGTGCAGAGCTAGTTAGCGATACTTTACTACTACTACTACTTCTACTGCTACTGCTACCGCTACTGCTACCGCTACTGCTTCTGCTCCTGCTACTGCTACTCCCACTGCTACTGCTACTACTACTGCTACTACTACTACTACCACCACTACCACTACTACTACCACTACCACTGCTGGAAATCGTAGCTGTAGTGCCGGTAGTGGTGGTGGTGCTGGTGCTGGTACTGTGGTGGTAGTGGTGGGTGGTAGCGTGGCGGTAGGACTAGCGCTAGTACTGTGGCGGTGGCAGTGGTAATGATAGTGGTGGTAGTGGTGGAGTGGTGATAGTGCTGAAAGACGACTGCATGTCGTGCTTTTTTTTTGTTTGAACCAGCGCCTGCACCTACCATCTCTTGCTCGGGCGAAGGGTCTGCGATGGCGTAGCCACCGGGTGCAGGGCCGGTGACCTGAGCTCACAGCTGGCAACAGGTCTTTGAAGATACGATTCGGAACTGAGGAAGCTGCAGACACTTGCTTTTCACACTCACGAGTGTATCGAGCAACTTCTTCCAGAAAGCGTGCCTGAACTTTTGCAGCTGACCATGCACAAACCCCACACATCCATGACGCCAAAAGCTTGTCCCTGTCCCTGTCCTCAACCACCATGGGCTTTTGGGCAAAGATCCTCCTGCTTAAGGCAGCCGGAGAACGAGAATTGTTGTCAGAAACCCATCTTCAAAGATGACAACGAGGTGACCGGTGGTCGACGGCCTCTTGACTTGTCATGAAACCACAACACTCCGGCACCCTCGGCAACGAGCGAAGACCAGAACAAGGCAACTGCTCCTGCCTTCGACCAAAAGAAGTCACCAAACAAGTCATGTTCCACGTTGGAAACGCGGCTTGAGCAGCACCGCTGCCGCAAGTTTGTGCGCAACAGTAGTTCTCCTGCCTTGCCCCTGAACAACTCGCAACGCACGTCGCTGAAGCCGAATGTACGCTGTTATGCACCGCGAAACATGCGAGCAAATGAGATCGGATGGTCATGTAGTCATGTTTGAGTTCCCTGTTTCCATCTGTTTCCTGACGTAGTGATGCTCAGTGATGCTTCTGTCGACACGACCACGCCCCGGGCCCCCTTCCCCGTGCAAGAACGCGCGCCTCAGGGCACGCTCCTCGGAGTCCTCGCGCTTGGCATCCGTTTTGATATCGGGATGCCTCTGCATCTCAGGGCTGGGTTACGGGGGTTACGGGTTGCCTTGTCATAGTCGGATATGCATGGCCTGGCCGTTTGATCAGGTCGCGAAATCCTCCGTACGACAGGCAAGCCCGGCGAGTTCTGCAAAACGTCTGACTTCACAAGCTGCGGGCTTGCGAGGTCTTGGACGCGATCGAGTCCTTATGCCGGTCAAGATTGGTTCAGTCAAGTACGACACTCTGCATGGGAGAGAAGAAAACACCTGGGCTCGTACCCACGTGAGGGACGGATCCCGGAACTTGGCGGTCTTGGCCTTATACAGACACATGTGACAAGGTCTTTTGAGCGTCCTGTGCTTGCGGTCCGCGGGCGCTGAGGAGATGACTCCGAGTTGGGCCGGGGGCGAGCTTGACAGGCCGTGTCATCGTCAGACCTGGCACTGGCCATGCTTGATTTGGTGCTTGCTCTCTTGCCACTACTTCTTGCAATCCTCTACACAGCAATCGTGTCAGCTGAGCATGTCTCCAAGGACCGGGACACATGGAGCCCCGCAGCAGCCTACACATTGTTCTTGACTCGGGCCGTGTTGGCCTGCGACTTCGCATCATGGCTCTCGATTTTCTGAACAGCAAAACGAAAGCACATTAGATGCTTCCGGAGAAGTGGATCGTACAGCAGCTTTTTGCGGCGAATCAAGACTCTTCGAGACAGCGGGTAGTCCCGCACTGCTGCTGTTGCGCTGTAAGGCCCTCCTGCAGGGCGTTCGTTCGGCACCTCGCCGAAGGTACATATTCACATGTTGAGCTGCTGACCATGACTGTCCGTTTCAGATGCTCTGCATCCAGTCACCATGCTTTGGCTTTCGCCAAACCTGTCCAGCCAAGAGGAAAGGTCTACGCCAGTGTGGACCAAATCTCTGCAAGCCTCAGTTTGCAGACCTTGAGCTCAAAGTGACTGGCAGTAGCGACCCTCGTCAGCGAAGACATGCTGACCTGGCTTTCAGCAAAGGGTGCACACTAGATGTCTCAGGATTTATGCAACTACCGTCGGAAGCTGAGATGACATGGAGGTCTCTGGAAGGCAGCAAGATGCAGGAAGGCAGTCACCAGGCAAACTTAAGCAAACAACCGATGCATCACAGCTCTGAGAATCTGAGTTCACAGCCGAATGGTGACAGCACCGTAGGCGCACGATACCGGCCGTCAGATCTGGTGCTCTAGCCTCCTCTGTATTAAGCACACGAAAGCTGCATGAGAAATAGGAGAAGAAACCACCTCCCCTTCCACATCTTCCGGCAGCCTTCTCGTTGCCTTGCCCTGGGAAACAACTTCAAAAAACAGGCGCTTCCGTGATAGGTCCAACTCGGGCTGCCCAGTTACAGGTGGGAATCGTGTCGTCTGCGGGACTTCTTCGCAGCGCTGTGTTCCACTTCATGACTACTCCTGGGATTGAGTTCATGATTTCGCACATGACCATGCAACCACGAGACATTGGCGCATGTGGACAGCATTTTGCACCCACGAAATCAAGCCAAAGAGCAAACCCGCCGAGTTTCACGCTGCCGTGGTCAGTGCATGTCATTCCATCCTTATCTTGTCCTTTTGATAGGCGCTTCCGCAGCTATCTCGGCCAACCTCGCTTCACCTGAGCTTGATTGAACACCGCAGGCGACCCCAAAACGTATTGCAGAGCTGGGATGAAAAATTCAAGTTCGGCACTTCTTTTTAGCTCAGCTATTTGCCAGGGCCTTGGCGACGCGAGAGTCACAAGATAGTGAGAGGAATACGTCAACACCGTCTTCACTTCGTCATCTCTGACCCTACCACTGTGGAACGTACCCGATTCCAGCAGCTTCGAGTCGCTGGAACAAGGAAGGCCCGGCGCCGGCCTGAGAATTCCAACCAGGCGAAAAAAGCAACTGAGAACTTGAACAGGCCTTGGGCCCTGGCCTCGAGAGGCCCTGCAGAAACCCGATTGCCAGAGCCTATGCCCAGAAACTCTGACAAACGCGGCCACAGAACCCTCATCATCGGAAGTTCCAAAGCCTTGGGCAGGCTCCTTTTCAGGCCATGGCCTCTGCATGGTACTTCTCACAGGAGGGACGAGAGATGGGGGGAAGGAGCACCGGGCACCGCACTGTCCACAGTACCAACAGTGGTCACGCTTCGGGATGGCCCTGGGCCGGTCGAAAGGTGGACTGTCAAGGACTTCGGTTCCCAAAGAGGCAGGACAAAAAGAAGATATCGGTAGCATTTCACGGATTCGGGATGCCGTCCCGCACAACGCATGCAACGCTTGAAACCAATCCACTCGGAGTAAACCTCGTGCTGTGCAACCCAGAAACGACTGCAAAAACTCGCATGCTCCTAAACACTAGTTAGTAGACTAGACACTTCCTCAGCAAGCTGGGCCTATAAATCCTACTGAAGATTCTGTAACTCAAATCGTGCAATTCCGATACCTGTGTCGTCGCTTGACTCCGCCTACTGGTCGTCCACATGGCAACAAGCTGACAAAGAGATGACAAAGAACTCTGGATTTGCGGCAAGAGGCAGGTTCAAGGAAGAGCCAGAGGAGAGCAGAGATCGGTCAGCTTGGCCTGGCTGAAGCCATGGACCCTTTACAGCCACCAGGCTTCCGCTGCATGCATAGACGTCAAACACACCGGTTAATCGCGAGGTCGTACGATTCCTGTTTGAAAAAGCTGGTGTGGAGAACCCTGGGGAAGGGCCATGGAAAGGTAGTTAACATCTTGAGGAACAGGATATGTCGAAGAGTACTGGCTGCGAGTGCTGCAGCTGCAAGCTGCAAATCCTCCACCCTAGCCTGTCATTTGGTCAAGCACCTGGGCACTCGTGCAACATGTTCCGCCTGATGCGAAAACAAGCAGCATACATGAGGGCTGTGTATGGCGTCGGCTCATCTGCTCATTGCCATGCAGTATACGAGTGCAAGCTCCAGAAGCTCCAAACCGTTCTGCTTGAGGCCCCAGACCTATATGTAGCTTCAACTTCACCATGCTCTGGGAGCTGCAGAAAAGTCTATGACCCATGATTGGCTACGAAGACCAAGTCAGGCGAACCTTTGCATAGCTTTGTTTACAACCCAGGCTGTCCAGTTCTCGGACTGCACAGAGCAGCCCCAGACGTCAGCTTGACTTTTCCGAACCCGCTGCCTGAGTTTGCAGGGCGCTGTGGTTCCCACGCGGTATTTGGAGGTAGGCCTCGCAAAGACAAGGAAGCCGCAATCAACAAAACTGTCACTTTAGCCCATGTGAATGAGCCTTTCTACTCTAAAGCAAGACCAACCCGACAACAGACGGGGTGAACCAACCACGAGCAGAGGAATTGCGCTGATACCGCGACCAAAATTTGACACCACGAAAGGAAGCAGGACTTCCTTCTGACACGATGTCACCCCTTTGAGAACGAACGAGTTGCGGTGCGCCATACCGGGGCCTCACCCTCAATTCGCAATACAACGATCGTGCACAGACCACAGGCCTTGCTACTGAAGTTAAGCATCACACAGAGGAGGCCCGAAATCCTCTGCTGGCAAAAACAAGCACCCCTTCAAATGACAGCAACAGCAACAGTCCGTGCAATCTGTGCTGCAGCAACAACAGAACAACTTGAGTCCGGCGCGAGCGAACAAATCGAGGAGAAAATGAAAACCCGAGACGGGAGCCTCTAGTGGTTCAGACTTTGCAGAAGACCCGATGAAGCCTGTTGACTTTTTTGACTTTGACGCGCTGCTCGGTGTCCGAACGTAGCGAGCTGTAAGGACATGCATAATGCACGGCAACAGAGCCGCTCACATATGTGATCCGATACAGAGAACAAAAGGACTAAAGCCGTGCGCCGCCCCGAAGGACCAAGCACGCACTCCAGCAGCGGAGTCCCCCGGTCCGTAGACCCAAGCAGGGACCAACACAGGCTTGTGTAAAAGGTATGATGGGACATACCGAGTATAGATCATTGCCTGCTGAACAGTCCACTGTGCAAGTGTGGAATTACAGAATTCTCAAACGAGCAGAAAGCCTGATATCTCAAAGAAATAAGACTCAGATGATACTGAAACAGGACAGGCTTGCTGCGCGGGAGAACGTCAGAAAAGAGTGTAGTCCTCCTGCGAACACAACAGATGGGCTCAGATGTCACGCCAGCATGCCCTGATCAAGATAATATCTAAATCGAAGGACGTTACATAAGAATCCATGCATGACAGCTGCAGCCCTTACAAGTCAGAGAATGTCGCATTCGAGAGACACATGTGACATCACTCGCATAAAGAGAACATAGCAAAATATGCAAAGAGCCAGTGATAAACAAGGATGTTGTCACATGTATGATCAGAAGACCACTTACACGTCATTTAAGCACATGCTATGGGATCAAGCAGGACATAGCAGAAGAGCCGACCGCTATTTCACGGCCAGATCCGCTTTGACCAGCCATAGATCAGTGGGAGCGATGCCCATTAAAGGCCGCTTACAAGTCATCAGAGCATATGCAATGAGATCAAACAGGACATGTCCGAAGAGCCGACCATTATTTCATGGCCAGATTCGCCTTGACCAACAATAGATCAACTAGAGGCCGTTCATTGACATTTGAAGGAAACAGATGCAACACAATGCACACAATAAAGAAACTAGACATGATGCCGAGTCCAATTGTCATACTTAGCAATGAGCGACAAAGTAATACCATGGATGTGCTGCCCAACGTGCCGTCTGGGCCTGTTGACAGTAGGGAGTGAACAGCATCAACAGATTATAAATGTCGAATACAAAGGCCTGAGGACAAGTTTACAAATCGAGTGGCAGCACGACAGAAGAAGAGGCTTCCAGTCATTGGCACATTGGCACATTACTCAGGGTCCAATCAACTGTACAAACAGTAGAGCAAAGCCTACGATGTATGATAGCAAGTAATGCCCGACCTTGCACCAACAAACTTGAAGCTTGTAGCGAGTCATGAAGAACAAAGCCAGGCATAACGGCGAAGGATTGCATTCCAACCCAAGTGTCATGCCAGATTACATAGAATATCACAGACCAGTACAGATCAATCAAATACGCAGTGCAATCCGAAGCCCACTGGCTGAAAAGCATGGACAGATGCTTCAAGTCCAGATCTCAAAGACCCTAGGCAGTACACATAGAGAACAAAATTATCTATCGCAACAACAACTTTTATGACGGTGCATCTGCATGACTTGGCGAAGGTAGCGGAGCGCTCAAAGCTGATCCAAGCACAGAAACCCTAGTATAAGAACAAGAATGCGCGCATCATGTAAGCATGGTGAAGTGCAATCAGCTGGGAGCGCAGAGTTCAGCACAGTTGCAAAGTACACTCAGCTCAGAAGCCTGTCAGACCGGCCAATCCAGCAATCAGCCTGCAGAGTCAGAAAACGCTGAACGGTATAGTCCAACCAGGTAACAGTTGCCTTCTATATCAGCATAATCACGTGCAGTGGCCAAATAAGGCTTTTGGGTATCATTGCAGACCATAAACTTCCAGCCCCCATGGAACCCCAAAGCATCACCAGGCACGCATATCGCAGTTTTGTAGTGACCAGCATACACTGTGGGACCAACATGGTATATCACAAATGCCAGACCATGCATGTAGCCGTGGTATCAGGGCCCTCAAAGAGAGGCACTGCAACTTGCTGACCCGGGCGGATGGTGACCTTGGCTGAAACCTTACTGGCTCCACGATCTGTGGGCACAAATCGGTGAAGTTGCAGAATAAGGCCGTGCTCAAAGGAGGACATTGCATGAATATACGGTTGCCCCTCCCACCTGTCAATGCAAGCCTGAAGGTCTGCACCCAGTCTGTCCAGAGTCAACGGGACCATATGCGAGCCATGATCCCGAACATGTATACCATCCTCACTTTCAGCACGAGACTGCCAGACACCTTTGAAAGCAAGCAGGGAAGCCTTGGCAAAAAAGTGCGTAAGAAATTCCGCAGCATCATGCTGCTCATGAGCCTGAGGCCAATCTGCGAAGATCACCAACCAAGGCAGAGAATTCGTAAGAAGCAACGCAGAATCCATTACCGTCCCAGAAGCTCGCTCAGACGCTTCGCCAGCGGAGATCGACCCAGCCGTTCTCGTCGGAAGCGACCTCCGATCAGCTTCCAAACCGTGCAGTTCGTAAGCAGACGAAGCCGTTCGTGAATGTTCTGTGCTTCCTCCCCCACCGTCTCGACCTCCAGAACTAAACGACTTGCGGTGGCCATGACACCTCAAGATGTTCTCCGGTGTAATGACATCCCGCAGATGCTTCAATTTCCTGAGTAGCCGTGAATGTTCCAAAGGACGGACTTGGTCGGTCAGGAGCAGCTCTTCCGTACGCTTCTTTTGGTTCCACTGGATGTATGGCCAATACGGCTCGGCGTCGGCGCCCTGGTCTATCACTAATCCCGCTTGAATCGTTTCCTCCTTCTTCTCTGGCGTCACGGCCGTTTCTGCTCGCTCTATCGTGGCTTCCAATAGGGCTGACAGCAGGACGACGCGAAGCGGATACTTGGGAATTTCTGTTTCTTTGCTCTGATTCCATGCTTGGGACACTCGTGCCAGCGGGGGAATGATCGATTCCGGTCCCGAGGTCCTCAGGAACCAAAAGTATCCCTGATTCGCCTGCTCAATGGAGATAGCGTCCTCGTGCCGAAGGCATAGTGTCCCGATGGCCGAGACGATGTTGTCCTGGCTGCTTGAAGAAGTCTGCGAGGGGCCGCTGGTGCCACTCTTTTGTCCCCTGCCTTTGCCTTTGTTCTTGTCCTTCCTGCCTTTGTTCTTGCCCTTCGTCTGCATGTCTGTGGTCTGCTGGAGAGGAGTGGAGATCAAGGGTTGAGAAGCTTGGGATCCTGTCGGAGTCGCGGCTGTCGAGAGTGAGGACGGCGCCTCTGTTGCTGGTGCTGACTTCTCCGAGGCTTTGTGGATTTTCTGCTGGCCTTCCTCCTTGACCGAAGAGTCTTCGAAAGTGCCACGCTTTGGTTGATCCCGGGTGTCCATCGGAGCTGGCTGCTCTGGCAGGGAGGTTGTTGTCTGAGGTTTCGGAAACATGTTCGTAAAATATCGAGTTTCCTCCCGACTTGGTGGTGCGAGCTCCTGGCCGTCCCGTTGCACCTCGTCCATCAATCAGCAATGCCAGGTGTACCTGAACAAGATCTGGGCAGCGATGTTTGCCCTTGCCAAAAGCTGACGCAGACAATACGGACATTGTGCACTCAAATAACTGGGTCGAACCAGTGCTCGAACACGCGATTCAAGGGCCTTCCATTGCAGCACATGTATTTTCTTATAATGTGAGCAGGCGTAATCCCAATGCACCAGCCATTGCCTGCATAGACAGCAGTGATGCCGCAGCTCTTGCAGGACCTCAGAAGACTTCCCTAAAGGTTGAAGACCATGTTTCCGCAAGGTAGCCAGGAAATCCGAGTTTTGAACAAAAGGCAGAGCGGCAGGTGAGGATGAAGTAGAACCAGCCACAGAAGTCTCGAGCCCACTGACTAAGGCCGTACAGCGAGAATGTAGTAAGTGCATATACAAGTTCTGCCAGTTCTTAAAATCATACAAGCAATACGAGCATGTAGGCATACCATCAACAGCGTAATGGCGGACATTTTCAAGCGTGATTTGACTGCAGTTCCAATCAGATGGCAAATCATCAGCATGCATTTTGGTCTGATGTGCTCGCAAGTCTCGCATGGTGGCATAGGTCTTATCACAGAATTCACACGAATACGGCAGATCCTGAGAGTCCAACTCCAGGGGCATAGGCAGCGCACGAGCTCTGTCAATGGCTTGGCGAATCTGACCAGCTAAAGCACCATGCCATACCACTCAGCAGAAAGTGGCGAACAAGCAATGTCCCGTGTATGCAACTGTTGACCCAAAGATGCGTGATATTGCGTGATATTCACAGGCTCGGCGAGAAATACGATGAAGATGATCTCCAAGATCAGGAAGTCCAAGCCTTTGCAGGAGATGATGGTTGGTCTCTTTTGTGATGTGACGAGGGGCTCGAGCAATACCTCGTATATGACGCACGCACATGCCATGAAGCTTTTCACAGCCAGACTGACTCCAGCCAATGCCCACGAGCCCATAACAAGCAGAGGATAGAGCAATGGTGCACCATAACTGCACTTGGTGTGGCAGAGACAAAACATGATGGCCAAGAAGAACCTTAAGAATTCTCTCAAAGCT